GCTCGTTACGCAGTGCGTATTATAGTGGATTATTACAGCCCGTATGCTCCGCTTGTTGCGGGTCAATGCGGGGGCGACATGCCCATGTACCCCGCTTATAACGGGCTCAATATACAATGCTTATCATTGTGGGCGCATTTACAACCCAAATGCGCCGCTTATAGCGGGATCAATACGCAGTGCGTATGGTTTGAAGTCTAGGGAGGTTTTCCTCTAGCTCAATATCGCGGGGCAGACGTCCTGCTTAACGCACGCAGCACGTTAGCTGGCATAGAAGGCAACATGGCCTTGAGGTGCCGGTGGCACATGGTAGACTCCCGTGCGTCCTCTTGTCGGCGTCGAGTTCATGCCCTGTTAAGCCATGTGACGCTCTGCGTTTGAGCCGCCCTTATTTGTAGGAAGGGTCGGGCTTATAACTTGTTGGCTTGCCGCGTCAGCTCGCCTCCTATCCGTCATCTGTCCTCTGGCGAAACGTTGGGGTCTTAACCTGTTGAGCCAGGTGGCGCTTTGCGTTTGAGCGTTGGGCTCATAACCTGTTGGAGGGATGATTTGCGCAGAGTTGTTAGGGCAGCACAGAATGGAGTGAGGACAAAAGAAGAGTGGTCTAGGCGGCCATAGTGGAGAGGAAGTCTCGAGTGTAGGAGGAGAAGACGCTTGTGTTGGACTTGGTAAAGGAGAAGACACTTGTGTTGGACTTGGTAAAAGAAGAAGTGATGAATTATAGAGTCTGGTGTTCTGGAGGGGAGTTACTCTCCACCAACCAGTCCAGTTATTTACGATTTCTCTATATGAAATAGCACAATTATATTCCACTAGATAGTCATCATCACATCGGAGATGCTTACTTCAACACTTTTGACAAACGTTTGACACGTTCTGACGTTTTCCCATTCACATAATTTGTGGTTGGCAGAAGTTTGATAAAAAGAGCGACCCGGAGCATGAATTAAATTTTATTTTGATGGCGATGGCGGTGGGAGCGGTTAAGTTGGATAGGCCGACGGCATCAGTGCGTAATCTAGTGGACAGCTGGTGAGCGAGTGTGGAGCGGTCGTGGTGGCGGCGGCGACGGTGGCACTGGTGGTGGGCGAGCGAGCGTGAAGGACGAGCGGCACGACGGCGGTGAGCGAGTGTGGAGCGGCAGCGGGTGATAACGAGCCATCGCGATTCGGGTGGGTATATGGGAGGGCGAGGCGCCGTTGATATTGATGGCCAAGTTATACGTGTTCGGCGCGATCCTTACAGCGTGGCGGTGTAGTGTGGGCGACGGTTCGATGTGAATTCGTGGTGGATCTCTTGCAAGTTGGTAGAGTTGGATTGGTGCGGCGTGAGTACGTGCGCGATCTGTCCACCGTGGTCAGTTACCATCTCGAGAGCAGGAACTAGTACGTCGCGGAGGTGAGCTTGGAGCACTGGTGCTGGACAACGGGGACCTCGAGATCCTCGCAGACATGATCGTGGTGGTGGATGGCCAGACACGAGCAACCTGGCCAATCCGCTCTGAGTCAGGCGCTAACATCCTGCCGGAGAGCATCGACCAGTGCAAGGGCTACAGCGCATTCGCGGTTCTGCTGGACTCGCTGAACGTGGACCAGCCGGACGGAGGTGATGGATCTGATCTCGACTCTGGAGTTAGTGCACGAGGTGTGTGTAGTACCTGGTTCTTGTCCCTCCCTGTTACGTGCTGTCAGAGGCTGCTATGCTTGTGGCTTCGGACGAGAGCCATTTGAAGGATTACCTGAACAGCAACGCAGACAAGATGTCGCGCTCCCTCGCCGTGTCCAAGGTCGTCGTGAATGCTAAGGAGATCGAGTTCGACAGTTTGGCCAAGGACAGCGCCATATCCATCTACGCCACACGCCAAGCACGCCCGCGTACACTCTGGAGACGCCACACTGGTGGAGCCAGTCCAGCAACTGTTCGTGGGCACGATCAAGCAGCTAGCACCATCGCACAGGCGCTTAACGTCACGGGCCCGTTTACCACGTACTAACACCACACCCAGGCAATGGCCCGGGCTAACGACGTCAAGGCGATCAGGGGCATCCTGCGCGCCTGTATCGACTACGTGGACGTCAAGGCGCCGCTGTTCTCGTTCATGCGTCTGCACGGCGCTGGCCCGAGTATGGGTGTGGAGTTGGGTTCGACCGGTGAGATGGCCCGCTTCGGCACGGGCGTGCACGAGGCGCATCTGACGCGCTGCCGTGTGCCAGCTTCAGGATGTCCAAGGATACGGTGCTGATCTCGATCGGCAATTAGGACATCAAGCACGAGTTTGCGGAGGGAGCTCGGATCCTGCAGGAGCTGGTTTCGATGTGAAGTTGCGTCGCTGAATCAAATGCTGGCACGTAGTAGTTAAACTGAATGTTTGACTAGGATGCTTGTCCTTACATGTTTAGATATCTATTGACAATCAAACGCTGTAAGAAAAATATTTTAGTTGTACTGTAATTAAGTAGCCCATTAGCGGCGGGGTGTCAAACCCGCAAGTGTACAGCCTTCAAGCTGCAGTTTCATACTAGTACATGTAATGCTACGATGGCGCTGAAGCCTTGGTATGCTCGCTACAGCGGTCCGTCACAAATTGCAATTATCCAGCAAGTGCTCCTAACGTGCTAGATTTGTATTGCCCTTTATTCGATAAGACGCAATGATTCCTGACTGTTCCGGAAATCACTTGGAATGCTAAACACCTAGCCCTAGTGCGATGGGATTGGCTAAATCCATGAATTTTGGTTCATTTCTGTAATCTCATTGGAGCGCTCAATTATTAACCTTCTAAGAGGGCTCGGGTCTCCGGACCGAAGGGACTTATCCTTTTACAATAATTTGTTAATGAACTTTATTATCAGCTCAAGCCTTGACTATGCCTCAGACTGTGGATTCGCAGGCTTGGCCATTCAACACTGTTTTTGTCCCTCGTCCACGAAGATCTCGTCGTCGATGCGGCTGTAGCCGCACTTTTCGTAGAATCCTGTCTTGTCGACCAGCGCTGGCAGGATGAATAGGTCTACGCGGTCGCGGGTGTAGTCCTCCAAGGCGTTCATCACCACTGTGCCGTAACGCTTGCCACGACACTCAGACAACACTGCTACGCGACTGATCTTGGCTATGCGCTTGACGTCATCGACCAGCACACGTGCAGCCACCACCGCCTTGTTCTGCTCCACGTCTGTACCGATGAAGTGCAGAGCAGACGGATGGTCGTCATATTCGCCTTCCTCCTCGAAGGTGTCTTCGCGGATAAAAACTTGCATACGGATGGCACGGGCCTTCGCCCAGTCCTCGGGGGTCTTCACACAGGTCACCAGCAATGTCATTGCTTAGAGTAAAGTCGGGATGCCAAGTCTACGGTAAATTTGGAAATGACAAGTACGTGGCTCGGAGTTCATTTGCTGGTCAACAGCAACAATCATGAAGCGACGTACAATTTTGGCTTCCTGAAAGAAAGTGTCGATACCCTCGATAAGTAAATGACTACCTGGACAGCAATGATGCTCATCGAAACAATGAGCTGAAGAGTCACCTGACTTTCAGTTCACACCACTCAATTGTTACACTCTTCATGATTGCAGCGATATGGTACGTGTTACGAAGTGCATGAGGACATACCATTTTTATTTACCTCTGTACTCCTTCCTCAGATCCACTTACCAATGGTGGGGATCATTCTGTGTATGTTAAGGTGCTAAATCTCTCCTTTCCTGTGTAAACGTATATCCTTCTATTAAGGTGCACCTGCTTTATTAAATAAATTCCAGAAAACAGAAATACATGCCATCATTACAAAATAAATCATCAAATACGTTTTCCATCTTCCAATCTTGTTAAGAAGGTAAGAAACCAAACGCTCTTTGAACCGACTGACACAATAACCTTCACATCTAAAAGATGGAGTTCGCTTTGGAGCCCGAGTCCACCGAGTCCCTGCAGGCCACACTCGCTTTCATCGACGAAACTCTAGGCGACACGAGCCCCGTCCAGTTGCATTCGCCCATCACCCACGCGCAGTCGACCGACAGCGACGACTGGGAGACATCCCACCTGCTCGACGACTTCCTGACCGACATCTCCTCGGACGCGTCCTCTCACCTCGCGTTGCAGCAGATGTCGCCCTCATCCCAGTGCAGACACCGCCCAGCCCCATTGCCGGCCTCTCATTGACCTCTGTAGCTCAATTATTCGAGTCTTCAAGTCCTCGGAGCGCTGTTCCGACTCCCCCTTCGGCCGCAAGAAGCGACGCAGCTACAACCCGAACAAGGCACGCGAGGATCTCCAGCGAGAGTTGACGTATCTCCGTAGTGAAGCTGAGGAGCTTACATATAAGCTGCACCAGCTGCAGAGTCTTAAGGTCGCTAAGACCAAAGAAGGCTCCAGTGCCCGTCAGTTGACAGCTCAAACTAGAAATGATAGCAGCCCGTTTGTATGGGAGCAAACCTGCGCTCGCCAACTCGACTGTCGACTGAGATCCGAGCGTGAGAATGCTCATCTAAAAACGCTTTTGGAGGGCCAGATCCAGGTCGCTAACAGCCTCGAGAAGCTTCTGAACAAGCGCACGACGCTGTACCCATCGGAGTCCTCCGGCAGTAAACAGACCTCGCGTATTCACGTGTCGAGAACCGGCAACGAGGTGACCGACGCCGCCGTATTCGAGGAACTGGCTGATGGTGTCGCCGCGTCGTACCGTGAAGTGGAGCGTGTGTTCGCTTCCAGTGGCCTCGAACTATCGAACGTGACGTCACGTAAGGCCCAGATGCGCGACGATAAGAACCGCATGTTCCTGGAGATTTTCGACAGTAAAGTGCTGCCGTTCAGTATGCACGCTACAGGCGAAGCGTGGTGGCGTCGATGGAACCAGTTCAACCCGAACAGAGGCAGTTGCCATCGCTTGGAGAGCACGGACGACACGATTGTGGAACATTTCGGCATGGAGATGCGCGACTCGAAGGCCAAGACGAGCGCCAAGTTCTACGTGCAGCAGATTCTGCGTCGCTACGTCGAGGAAAACCGCGTCGTCGTCGTCTGGCAGTCGCACATTGAGCCGCTGGAGTTTTCACACAAGA